AGCAATAGCACCTATCATGGTATGAAAGCTTGGATGGGCAATGGCATTGAAAGGAATGCCAGCTTCATACATCTAATTTGACACATGTAGATGGAAATCATTCAACCTTTCCTTATTTAGAGATTCTTTTGTGTTAACTTACCTTAGACTTCTGTCAAATAAATTATCTACATTGATGCTTTTGGTAGCATATTTATCAATTAGATCAAGCTTCCTTATGGCTAAATTCAATAATAGTCTATTAACTATATGGTTTATTTCAGTTTAGTTTAGAAACAATTTTTTCTTTTAAAATCATCTATAAGCTATCAATTTTGTTTCAAAATGGTCTACTTGACAAACATTTCGTTAACTAGGCTAACAGAATTCCCCTAAACTTTTGAAAAATGTTAAATATAGTACATATATTTTTATCTTTTACAACATTTTGTTTTTGAAATTCAATTTTTTTGTCAAATGTAATAAATAACAAAGATGAAGTTTCAATTTACATTAATTAAGATTTTAATTTTAATTTACAATAATCAATATTATAATTTAAATTTTATTATTTCTAAAAAAATTAATTTATTATTAAGTATTAATATTTTTAATAAATAAACCCTTCTAAAATTTAATTTAATTAAATGAGCACCCACACATAATTAAAATTACTTGAAAAATTAAAAATTCATTTCAATTTTATAAATCCCCAAATTAAAATCATGCATGTATTATTAGTGTTAAAAACAAAAATAAAATTTTTTATTTTTCTATACAAATTAGTGGAAAAAATATGTAATTTAATAACAGTATTAAATTTTTTAAAAAATAATAAAATTTAAATTATAATATTGATTATTATAAATTAAAATTAGAGTCTTGATCAATGTAAATTAAAATTATTATCTTAATTAATTATTACATTTAATATAGAATTTAAATTTTAAAAATAAAATGTTGCAAAAAAACAAAAATATATGTATTATATTTAATATTTTTCAAAAGTTTAGGAGGTAACTTGTTTGCACCAACTTGTCTAGATCAACATTCCGTTAGTCTAATTAATAGAATATTTGTCAAATAAATTATTTTGAAACCAAATTGATAATTTATAAATGATTTTGAAAGAAAAAATTGTTTTTAAATTAAACTGAAATAAACCACATAGTTATTAGACTATTTATTGAATTTAGCCACTTCGTTATCCACTCACTTGGCTATGGTGAAAAAGTTTCTCGCTGAACAACATTATTAACATTAATGTAAAGACTTTTTTTATTGTTGCTATTGTTTAATGAAATGACAAATTCGATATACCAATTTAACCTTGGCTAGTGTTTTATACATCTTCAATCTCTTTATTGCTTCCAAGGTCTCTAAAACACCTTTTTTTTTAAAAAAAACTTCATTTAGAGCAACCTAGCATTTAGCAACATCTTTCCCAACATGAGCAATGTGACATTTCTATCTATTGATTTCTCCCTTGTGCGTGTTTTTCTAAAAGTTGCATCTCATGGCATTCAAGGTTTTTACATTACAAAGATGACCATACTCTTATCTTTATTCTTTTTTAAAATGTTAAAATAATTCCATTTGTGGTAACAAGTACATCACCACTATAATTAGTTTTTTTTTTTTTTAGAAAAGAAATTGATTCATAATTTATTTATTTCAAGAAGTAAGAATTGAATCCAAATTTAGTTTAATCACAAATTCACAATTCATACAATCCAAAATAAAAGAAGATTAAATACAAATTTAATGAAAATTAAGAAAAGAAACAAGATTCAAACATATATTTAGCTTGATCACAAGTGAGCAAAAAATGAGAAGAAAATTGAAAATTGAATATATAAATAGTTAAAGTGGAACTTTACCTAAAAAGAAATAACAGAGCGGAGGAACCAAAGTTGGAAATGAATTAAATTGTTGAAGTGAAACCTAAGCTTGAAGGTGAGTGGTTTGGCAAAAGGGAATGAAGTTTGTGAACAAATAAAGGAGAATTAGAATTTAAAACTATATTTTTTTCTACCAAACCATTCAACTTACTTCTTGACTAATACCAATGCAATTGAAGATCAAAAGACACCTCTTGTTTAGTGGAAATCTATTAAAATTAAAATTTTCTATAGATATTAAAGAAACTTAGTGAAAATGAAGAGACAAAATGAAAATTAAGGAAAGATACAAAATGATGTTATTTTAAAAAATAAAATAATTATCAAATTGTACTTGAGATTTAGGTAATACATAAGAGTGCTTGATCACTCTTGAGTGTAGCCCAAATCTACCGAGTGCACTCTCTAGCCCCTCATAACACCATCCCTTTGTTGTTCTTCACCTTATGAAACTTTGTACCTTTGATTTGTTGCATATGAGCCAAGGTGGGTTATAGACGTTCACCCATCACAAAGGTATTGCCTCAACATGCTTGGGTGGCGCTTTTTGCAACCCTAATGCTTACCATCCCTAACCCTCCTTTCATAACTCAAATTTAAGCACCCTCTCCGATTCCCAAATGTTATGCCATGTAAAACCACAATGAAAGTAATAATATATCTTTAAAATAAAAGCAGTTAATGAACCTTCATTTATAAGCAACCTCCACTGTTGTTTCCCTAACATTGCTAAATTAAACTCTTACAACAACCTAAAGGCCAACCCTCCCTACCCCCTCTTTGATTTCGCCAACTCACCGTACTCCATCTAATGAATCTTGTGCACATCTTCCTTTTTATCCCACCAATATCTACTCATGATATGCTCCAATTGTGTGCATAGAATAATCGATAACTTAAACAAAGTCATGATGTAGGTAATGACTACAAGATAATTTTAATCAAAACCATTCTGGCACCTCAAGACAATGGTTGCTACTCATGCCTAGCATTAAACTGCATAGGGATGTTTTATAAACAAAAAAAAGGTTTTAGAAGAAAAAGTTTTTATTGTCAAAATTATAAGTTGAGAGTAAAAAGGACTAAAAAGTTTAAGGGATTGATTTTTTACAAAATTAAAAAGCTGAGGTACCAAAAGGTATTTAAACCTTCTCAAAAACCACTTTGGATACTTTACCAAATTTCATTTCATAAAAGAATAAGTTTTGCAGTTGTAGACCATACAAAGGATGCTAGATGAGATTAAACTTTTAATATAAGTAGCCTACTTACATTATAAGTAATATGTAGTCCAAACTTTTAATAGATAGTAAGTAGAGAATAGTGGTAGTGAGTAACGAGTGACAGTTAGCAAATTACGGATCACAAATAATGAAAAGCAAGTAGCAAATAAAAGATTACAGATTTGATTGATATAACTATTTGGTTATACAATAGTGGCAATTGTTGTTTGATATTAAATGACTAATAAAGATATATTTAAAAACAATTATGTGAATTTTTTTATATATTTCTTATTATTAAAATTATTAATTTTATTAAAAAATAATATGAAAATAAATAAATAAAATCAATTATAATAATATAATCACACACTCATTTCTACTTTTAACACAGAAAAAATTATATTATTTTAAAAAAAAAATTATTATTTTGTCTAATTAGTAAATTTTACTTATTAATGTAATATATTTTTATGATAAATTAATCTAAAAAATAAAAATATAATAATCACTTAATGTTATTAAAAATTAAAAATTAAAAATGAAATTGAAACTTATTAGATAAGTACTATTAAAAATCGTTGCCAAAAATAAAAAAAAAATTAAAATGGATAAATTTGTCAATAAAATTAAAAAATTCAAATCCATTAACAATTTTGTATAAAAAAACTACCTAACTAGTTTTTTTTCAATTCGTTAGTGGTTTAAATACTAATCACAATCTATTAGCCCCAAATCGCTAAATAAAAAACTAGTGGATTGAAAAAACTAACTTAGATAACCTTTTATACCAAACCACTAGCAAATTGGAATTTTTTAGTTTTATTAACAAATTTATTCATTTTAATTTTTCTTAATTTTTGGCAATGGTTTTTAATTAATATTCATTTAAAAAGTTTCAATTTTGTTTTTTTATTTTTAATAACATTAAGTGTGACATCCTCTTTCTTATAAACTAAAGGTTTATTAAATAGGGAATGTCCTGCACAAGATTAAAAAAAAAAAAAGATTATAGAATCAAAAGGCTCATTTTATATACTATTCCCAAGCTCAATAATAGTACAAAATAGACTAAAAATTTTAGGGCCAAACGGAAGCTTTGCGTTGGTACAGATTTGCCTTATTGATTTTTTGAAGCACAGCTTACGGTTAGCATAGGACCTCCACCCACAAAAATTCTTAGGAATAACAACTATTCTTCATTGCTACCATCTAAAATGGTGGGAATAACACCATGAGCTTACAACGTAGTAGGCATAATTCTTAGTCTTAAGTTAAGTTGAAAATTTAATCTTAGTATCTTATGTAGAAAATTCCTTAAATTCTCAATTGTGCAGGCCTTGTTAAAAATTAAGTCAATTGCAGCCACAAAATGACCACACAAACACAGAATAACACAAACTATGGAGTTCACTAAATATGCATGCACTCACATTAGGTGCTAGAGCTAATCATAACAGTTACCTACTGTGCAGAGGTCCACTAGTTCATTGTTCAATCCCCCAAGCCTAGGCTAGGGTTCAAACTCTCCGTAGTTCTAAGACAATTACATGACAAAATCTACAAATAGCACATAATCATGCATAACAGATTTAATGTTTACTTAGTATGGTCTATAGAGCTAATTGTCATAACTCAAATTTTCAATAAAATTTTATTTTGTTTTTAGTTCTATTTTTATTTTTATTTTTATTTTTATGTTTATGTTTACCTCATATCTTTTGTTTCATTTTTCATGTAGATTTATGAGGAAAAAGGGATATTGCAAAGAAGATTAGAAAAAGAAGATGAAAGAAAAGAAGATGAGGGACCCAATTGAGGAAATGAAGAGTTGAAGGGTAGAATGTATCAAAGTTAAAAACCAAAACCCAAAGCCCACTACCCAAAACCCACTTAACAAAAAAAAAAAGGGTGGGGGGGAGGGAATCTTCTTCAAAAGCCAACCCTAGCCTTCTCTCTCTTTTAAAACCGGTAACATGCCAAGAAGAAGGAAGAGGGTTGCAGAACAAAAAACAAAAAAAGGGAAAGATCTCCTGCCCTGCACGCCTGCACCAAGCCCGTGCCCAGATCCCCTTTGCTCTGCGCCATTGACCTTGCTTGCTGCACCGAGCACGCGACCCTGCTTGCTGCAATCCTCTGCACCAGCCTCTGCACCAGCCTACGCCCCTGCACAAGCCGCGCACCAGCTCTGCACTTTCCTCTTTGCGCCCCTGCACCTCAAATCCCCTCTGCCCCTGCGCCCCTGCACCAGCCTCTCGCCCCTGCATCAGCCTCGCGCCCTGCACCGGCCTTGCGTCACGCCCCCTGCTGCGCCTTTGTCCCTGCAGCCAACCGAGCACCATGTCCTTGCGTTGCTTGCAGGATGACATCACGCTCCAACTTTCTTGGCTGTTCTGCAGGGCCAGTTTTGGCCTCACCCGATCAACGGTGGAAGGAAAAAGAAGAAAAATTGAAGGGTTTGGATGAGGAGAGAAGGGAGGGAGTTCGGGTTTTGTTTGAGGGGGTATAAATAGGAAGGACCGGTAAATTGAAAAGGGGAGAGTTCTCTTGGTTGTTCTTTTTGGTCTGAGTTTGGGATTGCCGGAGGTGATAGCAAGAGAAAGGAGATCACCGGAGGAGACTGTGCATTTCCTTGGTTTTTGTTGTCTTAGGTAAACTTTCTGATCAGAGGAAGTTTTGGGGAGGGTGGTGAAGGAAAGGGTTGGAGCTTGATCCCGTGTGTGGGATCCCTCCCTCCGATCCTGATCTGTTTTACTTTCGCCATGGTTGTTTTAATTTCTGTGTTGATGTACTGCATTTGTATTTGAGGTTGATATCGCGAATGAAATCAAGCATTTTCTTTTTAATTTCATGGATCTGAAATCAATTGGATGTATGTTTGTTTTTCTTTGTTTGTTTTGGTTGAACAGCTGAATAGTAGCCTTAAGTTCCATT